GGGTCCCCTACACCAAGTGGTATGGGAGTGCACCAGCAGTCAACATGCTGAGAGCCTATGGCTGCATGGTGGTGTTTCATGTGCCGAAGGAGAAGAGGGGAAAGCTGGAAGCTTCTGGGAGATGGGGTGTGCACTTGGGACTTGCTTTAGATCATAAGGGCTGTTTGTTATGGGACTTGACCAGCCAGCAGCTGACTGTGTCGAGGGATGTGAAGTTCCTCGAGTCCCTGTATTACAAGGAGTGGAAGCTGCAACAGCAGAAGCTTCCTGCTACACCGCTGATCATTGAGGCCGATGAGGTGCAGCGGCCTTCGAGGCAGGTGGAGGTTACTGTCTCAGAGGAGGAGATCTCTGGGGTAACTGAGGATGGGGGAGAACCTGAGGTGGAGGAGCAGCAGCAGCAGCAGCAGCAGCAGCCGCAGCAGCAGCAGCAGCAGCAAGGTGCTCCACAAGGTGCCGCACGTCCGGCTGACCGTCCTAGGAGGGATGTGCGCCCTCCTAACCGGCTGACCTATCCGAGCTTCGGCAAGCCAAAGGTGGTACAGGCTGGGGGTGTGGCTGAGCAGTATGACGAGGAGGAGATAGCGCACTGCTACTGGGCAGCCGTCCCTGAGCCCAAGACACTTACCGAGGCCTTGAGTGGGCCCGATGCTGAAAAGTGGAAGCAGAGTGTGAAGGAGGAGTATGACTCTCTGCTGGAGAATGAGACTTGGGAGTTGTGTGAACTGCCTCCTGGGAAGAAGGCAATCTCTTCGAAGCTGATCTTCAGGCACAAGTATGGGCCTGATGGGGAGCTGACCCGTTACAAGTCAAGGCTTGTGGCTAAGGGGTTCCAGCAGACAAAGGGCAAGGACTTTGACGAGATCTTTGCTCCTGTGGGGAAAGGGACAACACTGAGAGTGTCATTGGCAATGGCTGCAAACCGTGGATGGCGGGTGAAGCAGATGGACATTACCACCGCCTTCCTCAATGGGATTATTTTGGAGGAGCTGTACATGCTGCAGCCTGAGGGGTTGGATGATGGGAGCGGCAGGGTGTGCAGGCTGAAGAAGGCCATCTACGGCCTGAAGCAGGCTCCTCGTGCATGGTACCACAAGCTGGAGGAGACACTGCTGGCTGGGGGATTCAAGAAGAGCGAGTGTGATCACAGCCTGTTCCTACTGCAGGAGAAGGAGCAGTTCCTCATGCTCTTGGTGTACATGGACGACATCCTTCTTTTCTCCGAGTCGTCTGCGATGATTGAGCATGTGGAGGAGATGCTGGAGATGCAGTTCAAGTGTTCCAAGATGGGAGATGTGAAGTATTACCTTGGGATGCATGTGGAGAGAGACCTCGACAAGGGAGTGTTGAGGTTGCACCAGAGGAAGTATTGTGAGGGGCTGGCTGAGAAGTATGGGCTGCAAGATGGAGGAAAGCCAGCCACCCCACTGCCTTCGGGGTTCACTGTGGAGCCCTGTGCTGATGAGGAGGTGGTGGGTGAGAGTGACAGGAAGCTGTTTCACTCCATGGTGGGGGCACTCAACTATGCGGCTAACCACACGCGGCCTGACATTGCCTTTGCTACATCCAGGCTTGCGAGTGTGGTGTCACGTCCCAGTCATGAGCAGCTGGAAGCGGCCAAGAGGTTGGTCCGCTATGTGAGCGCTACAGCATCAGTGGGCTTGGAGTACAGTGCTGTGCGACAGAGGCTGCAGAGGGGTGCAGCTGATTTGAGCAAGGGGGAGATGCTCTTGACTTGCTACACCGACGCCAGTTTCAACTCAGTGAAGGAGGATGGCACCAGCATTGGAGGCTATGTGTGCCTCTTTGGAGGTGGTGCAGTGAGCTGGCGCAGCAAGAAGCAGAACGAGGTGGGGCTGTCCTCGTGTGAGACAGAGTACATGGCCCTGCATCATGGGGCAAAGGAGGTGGTGTGGCTGAGGCGTTTGTTGGAGGAGATCGGAGTGTGCCAGAAGAAGCCGACAGTGATTTTCTGTGACAACGAGTCGGCTGTAAAGCTTGCAAAGAACGCTTGCCTTCATGGGCTGACAAAGCACATCAGGCCCAAGTGGCATTGGACAAGGAGGCTCCTGGACAAGGAGGTGCGGCTGGAGATTGTGAAGACCCAGCAGCAGGCGGCTGACATTCTCACCAAGCGCCTGGCTGAACCTGAGCATTGGAAGGGGATGAAGCTTTCTGGAATGAGCATGCATTGAGGGTGCATGCTTGAGCTATGGCATGTGGGATGATGGTTGGCAGCCAGAGGGGGAGCTTGTTGTGTGATGCTATCATTCGCATTCACGTCTGTCTGCCTCCCATCATATGTTCGTGCGTTGCATGCGTGGTGTGAGCGTGTGCAAGAATTTGTGTTTGGTGTGGTTTGGATTCTCTGAGTGTGTGTGAATGATATTTTGCTTGAGCAGATATCTGAACTTACTTCCCTGCTCAAGAGCTTTCCGACGAACCAAGAATCGTCGCGATCGGAGCACGAACGAGAAAGTTGCGAACATTTGAAGTTCGTATGCTTTTGATATTTGGTTGTGGCGACTATGGGAAGTTGTGGGGTTGACTCAATATGGGGTACAGACTTTTGGGGGTTGGGAAATTCGTCCCCATTACTGTAGGTGTTTCCAAGTGGTTAGGAGAAGCCAAACCAGGTTGGCAAGTGTGGCCAAGTTGGGTGAGGTGGATGGCATGGGTTGGGAAAGTGACAAATGTCAAAGTTGGGGTGCCTATAGAGAGGGGAATTGTGTGGTATGGGGTTTCCTTGGTTGGGGACTCCCTTGGGACCTTCCCTCTCGTCCTCGTCTTCCCTCCTACCTGGTTCATTGCTATTCTAATCTTCTTTGTGGAACTTGTGAGAACTCTTGTGATTGAGTTAAGCTTCTATTGCAGCATACCCCCCAGTGCGCCGAATTTAATATCTCGCGATATACTCCACCTTTTCATGTGATTCAAATTGGGACTTGTAGCCACGGTCTAGAGCTACAACATATTTTGTTCTCGCGAGATTCCAATGGTGAAATTTTCGTCGACGACGTTTCTTGTGAACTCGACGATTCTGTCCAGAATTCCAAGCCAACGATTTTGAGAAATTTGGGCCCCTAATCTACATAAACTCCGTCCTTAGTCTCTAACATCCATCTCCAGCACCCCCAACACTAGCACCTCCAGTGCCAGTACCCTCAGCTCCAGGACCCCCAGAGCTAGCATCTCCAATGCCAGTACTGTCATATTTGTGTGAATGTGAAGGATATGGAGGAACCAGAAAAAGGGGGGGGGGGGGGGGAGGGGAAGTGTTCATAGTGTACATACTGTATATACTGAGTCAGCGAGGTGCGTGGATGGAAGTTGAAGGGTCGGGTGGCATTTCACGAGGCACGGAGGGGAGGGGAGGAGCTGTCGGTTGCCGAGCTGGGGGGTCAAAAGGGGGGGGCGTGCGAAGAAGTGGGGCGGTACTTACGTAAGCAAGAGGCTGGGGACAAGGCGGAGCAGTGGAGAACAAGGCATTGACAGCGGGAAGGCAGTCCCACCGCCAGCAAAGGATGGGTGCTTGAGTGCATGCGTGTTTGCTTTCGTGTGTGTGCAGGATTGGTCTAAGGAGCCAGCTGGATCTGAATGACAGCAGCTAGATGCAAAGTAGCAAGTGCAGGGCGAGGATGGCAAGAGGCAGTAGAGCTACAAGTCTGCTCGTAGAGGCTCATAGCCACTAACGCGTAGACTAGAGAGGTGGAACCAAGGGAGGAGAAAGAGTTGGTAGAATAGGTGGAACCTTGGACTCAATTCCCATTGCTTGTATGTTTCCTTGTAACACGAGTGCTTGCCTGAGAAATCTGAGCAAGAAGTGATCGCATAGGAGATATGACAAGCAGAAGGTAGGCAGGGAGGCGAGGGACCCGATGTGAGGGAGCTGGAAGCTCATCAGGGTAGGCAGAGCACAGGCACCAAGGAAGGAGCGTGAGAAGGACAAGGGGACAGAGGGCAGGGCAAGGAGAGAGAGGCAGGGAATATGGCCGCAGCAAGAGGAAAAGGAGGAGGAAGAGACGAGAGGAGCAAGATGAGTTTTCGACAGTACACTTAGCTCCAGCACCCCCGCAATTAGCACCTCCAGTGCCAATACTCTCAGCTCCAGCACCCTCAGAACTAGCACCTCCAGCGGCCCGTGCCTCCAACACCAACACCTCCAGAGTCTACTGCAACATGTCGCGGTAGTGCCGAAGGCCGCTGCGGTGACTGTGAAGTTGATTGCGGGGAAGGAGATGGCACCTCATGTGCAACCGACGGAAGAGGAGTAGCGTGGGACACACCTGACGGGGTAGGACCAGGGGGGGGCGGGTGTACCGGAGGAGCGGGAGCATGAGGAGGGGTGGGGGCAAGGAAAAGAGGAGGGGGGGGGAACCGGGAGAGGGTACCGGGTGTAGTAGGACACGGACTCGTCAAAGGTGACGTCACGAGAGTCAAAGAACCGGTGGAGGGGCGGGTGGTGAAAAGTGTAGTCAGAGGAGTCCACTGGGAAACCAAGGAAGACACAGGGGAGGGCGTGGGCCGAGAGCTTGTCTGCAGAGGTGTCGCAATCAAATGCAAGGCAGCCCCAGACACGAAACTCCGATGCAACACCAGGGGACCCGGTCCTTAGACTGGTCGGTGAAGCCCCTTCCCGTGAGACACGAGGCCAGAGGTTCAACTGGTGGGCGGCGTAGCGAACCGCGTAGGGCCACAGAAAATGGGGCGCACGGGCGTGGATCTTGAAGGTACAAGCGATTTTCGTGACCAAGCCAATGTGGCGCTCAGCAACCCCATTCTGCTGTGGGGACTCTGGAAGCGTCCATGATTGGGTGATGCCCTACTCGCGATAGAATCCGGCAAGAATGCCTGAGCGAAATTTGCCCCCACAGTCAGAGTGAAGACAACTGACACGATGACCACGAGTAGTCTCAGTGGCCAGTAACCACCGGATCAGCGTAGAAGTCACGTCGGACTTCTTCGCTAGGGGGAACACGATGGTGTAGCGGGAGTAGTCGTCAACGACCACCAAAAAGAAGCTCTCCCTCTCGGGCCCAGGGCGACGGGCGGGGCTCCAGAGTCTCGGAGGGGGGTGGTGGTGGTGGTGGTGGTGGTGGTGGTGGTGGTAGTGGTGGTGGTGGTGGTGGAGGTGGTGGCGTCACTGGTGGTCCAGGTGGTGGTGGAGGTGGTGTCGTTGCTGGTGGTGCAGATGGTGGTGGTGCTACTAGTGCGTCTAGTGGAGGCAACACTACAGGTGGAATTGGGCTTGTGGGCCCCACGAGAGGGGGTGTTGGGCCAGTTGCTTGGTACACGGCACAGCAGCGACAGAAGTCCCAGCAGGGACAGCAACCGCAGGGACCTGGTGGGTCAGGGAGCTCTGGACGTGGTGGTGGTCCACCCGGTTGGGCGCCGCGTGGTGTCACACACTCCTCCCTGCCCGTACATGGTTCTGACTGGGGGATACACAAACTCTCTCCCTTGTACCTCCCCCCTTTTCCCTAATAACATCATTCTCCTACCTAACTCATAGTAGCTAATCATGCATATTCTGAGATGGTATCAGAGTGGTCAAGTACAGTAGGGTAGGGGGGGGTGGACTGTCGAGGAGCACAGGCAGCGGCACGTAGCAAAGGTACGTGCAGTTGCTGCTGCTGCACGCGCGGCTCCTAGTGCACGGGCAGCTGCGCGTGTAGTTGCTGCTGCTGCGCGTGCGGCTCCGAATGCGTATGCAGCTTTGAGCGCGCGCACAACATGCGCCGCGTGCAATGAACCCGCCGCCGCGCGCCCTGAAACCGCCGTCGCGCGCCCTGAAACCACCGCCACGCGCCCTGTCCACCTTCCTCGCGCCCCGCCCCATCCCGTGCTGCGCCCTACCTTGCTGCCAGAGCGTGCAGCCGCACGCACGCCGCCGCGCACGAGGAGACACACGCAACAGATGTACGCACACGCGCAGCTGCATACACATTTAGAGCTGCGCGCGCAGCAGCTTTAACTACACACGCAGCTGCCCGCGCACTAGGAGCCACGTACCTTCGCTACGCGCCGCTGCCCGTGCTCCTCGACAATCCCCCCCCCCACCCACTAGCCTACCGTACTTGACCGCTCTGATACCATCTCAAAATATGCATGATTAGCTACTTTTTGTTTTTTAATGATGATTGATAAATGTACACCGAAAGGCAAGCGTACACTACCAAGAACAGTCGAAACCGTGCGTTAGGAGCAGAGGCAAGCCCCTACCCCAAACGAGACCCACTAGGGTGCGTTGGATCTCGCCCTCTGAGATGACCACAGTGCCGCAAACGTGCTTGTCCACTTCCAATCGATGCCATCCTGTGTAATCCTACGAAGCATGTTCTCTTCCTCCACAAAATTTCAGCGCAACTGCTTATGCCGCGTCGAGCCAAACTTCCGAGTGTAGATCCTTGCATGCTGCCTGAAAGTGAATGCAATCTTCCATAAAACCCGCTGTGTCCGGAACCTGCCGCCACGAAACACCGCCTCACACCGTTCTAGCCACAGCTGATGGAAGGTGATGGCCGTGAAAGTTAGCTCCGAAAATGCCGAGCTGGTGCCGGTTTTCCGGAACAGAAGATCGCCCAACGTCTTGATCGTGCGGCCAGGATTAAGCATGCACAACACATGCCCGTACAGCCGCGCGCGGGCCTGGCACAACCACCTGAATACGTGGACAGAGCAGAAGGCAGTGCTCCATCGACTCAGAGTCCCCGCAGTACGGGCAGACCGGCTTGCTGCTGAGGAAAGCCAGCCTCTCCCCGACCTGCAGATTCCCACCGTGGATCCAGACAAGGACATCCCGCGGACGGCTGGGGACCGCCAGAGAATCCCTTGTCGCAATTGCCCGTTTCCTATCAATGACTCCGCACCACTTTTCCGCCCACTTCTACTGCTTGCATGACTGCTTCCCCGCGCCACACCACCCCTCTTTCATCCTCCTCACGGAAATGACCTGCCCCCCGTCCACCACCACCAGCCTCGGGGGGGAGTCAGCCGAGCAAAGTGGGACTGTAGGGAAACCCAGCGAACACTGCCAAGAGGCTGGCAACGCCCTCAATGCCTTGAGAGCAAGCTTGGCGGGGCCGTTCCCACCTAGCTGTCGAGACAACACTGCCATGGCCTTCAGTTCTGTTGGGTGCAAATATTTAATTTGCACGTCAACCTACCGCCTATTCGACGACAGTGAAATAAAAATGGGGTGTTTGGTTGAAGGTAATTTGTGACGTGGAAGATGTGCATTTCATTTTGCATTTTGTGTGTGCACATTTTTGTGTGTGGCACGTGTGCATTTGTTTTTGCATTTTGTGTGTTTCGTTTTCATCCGTAACTGCATTTTGTGTTAGTGCATTTGCACTTGTATTTTCACTGTTCTCATGAAGTGCTCAAATGAGGCTCACATGATGCGCTCAAATGAAAGCTCTCATGAAGCTCTAATGAGGCTGAAATGAGCTTCCCATGAAAGTCCCGTTTGTTTCGAATGTTTCATTCGTGGCTCATGTGAGCGAGTGGTGTACCGTGGGGTGTTTCTGTAAGGTTCGATAGTCTGACTAGTCAAGGGGGATGCTGTTGACTTTCGCGCTGGTCAAGCACGCGAAATCTTGACCGCGCGTGTGGTCCCGATTTCGCGTATGGGCCCTCAGGGCTCGAGCGTGTGCTTGCGCACTGTTGCGAGCGTGGCAGGGCCCACGATCGCAACAAGACAGGGCGAATGATCGCCCAGTCCACGCGCAGTACAGCGCACGTTTTTGCGCTGTACAGCACGACCAGTTTGTCTGGTCGTGCATGATTGTGCACATGAGGGGTGCGCATGAGTTTCGAGGGGTGCTACAAGATTCCGAAGGGTGCTCGGAAATTACACCCTGTTCTCGATAATTGCACACCCCTACCCTTTTTTTTCGTAGGCACCCTTTACGGGCTTTGACTTGATGCGACGGACACCCAGAGATTGAGAGACTATAAAGATACAACGGGCAGGTGGCTCTAGAAAGGACTCGCACTTAATGTTCAGGGTAGGTTTAGTTAGGGTTGGGTTCCTTTTATATTCCTGGTCCACTCCGACCAAACCCGAAAGTCGTCAGACCCTCCTCCGCAGTTTTCCTAAACGCTGATAACTACCCTACGATAACGATTGACCTAGGGTAAATACCCCAGGGTGTGAGATTAAGGGGTGTGAAATAATCGAGAACAGGATGTACAGTTGAAAAACTGTTTTCGGAGTTGACTCGTGGAACAAGAAATTGCGCACGAAAGTCACTCTGTATTGCGGAATGATTTCGCCACAGGTACAATTCGGTTACTCGCGTCGTCCAACGGTTGAATCCGTTTTATAACCGTAAACTCGCATGGAACTCATGTGAGTCACATTGGAGGCACATGGAAGTTATGAGTGCTCATGCGAGGAGTCAGCAGGGGAAATTGTCCTAAGTGAAATTTGAGTACAGGTTTTTACAAGAGGAGAAAGAAGACAATAGCCCAACAAGTTGAGCAACCGTTTTCGAGTACAGCATGGCGAAGATCCGAAATTCAGTTTGACAACTGCTTTGCTATTTCCCTCTGCTTGTGTGTTAGACGAAATATAAAATGCTTGCTTGTGCTTGTTTGTGACAATCCTTTCTAGTGGAAATATTTTCTGAATCTCTCTCACGAGTTAACGTGCTCTATCAACGTATTGACGTGAAGAGTTATTCTGCACACGAGCCCGTTTCGTCGTCAACGCTGCGCAACGAATGTTGGGAACGCTCTAGTACACACGACTGTTTTTGCACTTAGGGAATTCCCTCTACAAACACGGACCCTTGGATAGGGGCTGGCTCTGCCAGGCACCCAAGGACCCTTGGAGGTGACCCCGTGGGGAGTACCTCGTGTGAATTAAAGGTGTGTTTAGAGCCTATCTATCCCAAATAGCGGTCAACAAGTGGTATCAGAGCTGAGGACTAGACGTCTAGCCGTTAGAACACTATGGAATCGAGTGGAAACGAATGTTCTGTGGCACGAGCTAATAGTGGAGTCCAAGATGACGGTGGTTCAGCGCCAAAGGGAGTGCAAACCAGCCGGGGCCCACTGTTGAAGGATGTGCTCAAGAACTTCGTTGTCGAAAAATTCAACGGCAGTGGCTACGACGATTGGGCGTGGAAAATGCAGTTGTACTTCCGACAAGTCGGGTTGTTGAAGCTGATGACGGGAGAGGAGAAGAGGCCGAGCGACCCCGCCCTAAAGGAAGAATGGGACGAACGTGCGTCAGCCGGCTACTACCTCTTATCGCAGACTTTGGAGCTTAACCAAAGGGCACACGTAATGCATCTGCTGGGGGAAGTTGATAATGGGCCACGAGCATGGGCGGTGCTAAAGGAACTGCACGCCCCAACTTCGGTGGTTGCAACGCTCATGCTGGAGCGTGAGTTGGCGTCATTGCGGATTAGTGAAGGGGAGCCGATTCAACCCGTTCTTGATAAGGTGCGGGAGTTGTACGCCAAGCTACAGATTGCGGGCATCACCTACCCGGAGCAAACGAAGTGTTTGAAAATGTTGTCACTGCTGCCGGAGTCATGGATGGTCTTCACAAGTGGTTTGAGCCTTCCCCAAAACCTGAACCTCTGGACCCTTGAGTGGGTTCGAACTAAGATATTGGAGGAGGAGCTTAGGAGGAGACAGCTGAGCCAAAACTATGATGGTGATGGCGGGTACGGAGTACAGGGCAGCAAGTGGCGAAAGGGAAATGGTCGTGGCCAAGGTGAACGTGGACAAGGCGGGAACAACCGATTTGGAAACGGACGTGATGAGAAAAAGCAGAGGAGCAGAAGTGACGATGATGATGAAGAAGATGATCGAGGCGACTACCGCGGTTTCAGGGGTAGCTGCTGGTATTGCAAGAAGCCGGGACACACATGGGCGAAATGCTGGAAGCGGCCCAAGTGGTGGACTCCCGGATGTGAGGGTGATGATGGAGATGAGAATGGTGTTGGTTATGTGGCAGAGACCGCAATGGAAGGGGGGAAAGGTTGTGAGCGTGCTCCAGGGCAGTTTTTTCACGTGCAAGGGAATGGGGGGAGCAAGAAAGCACCTGCCAAGAAGGGAGCAGAGCCTCTTCCATCACCAAAAAGTGTCGGTCCGAAATGCAGCCGGCCAGCTAGGTGGTCCACATTGTGTCATTTGACCCCCCAAAAGTGTCCAAAAAGAGTCTTCACCCAAAATTGAAGGGTCTAAAAAAGTCCGAAAGCTAGCCAAAACGCGAAGTATCCGGAATCTGTCCAAGAAGTCTCCGATTCATGTTACTATGCAGAAGGTCGGGGATCGATGCTTGCCTGGTGCACTATACCGAACACAAAATTGTTAGATTAGGAAAGAAAACGAACACTCCCAATTATAAGTTGCTTTTTACTAGCTAGAATCGATCTCGCGATCTCCCAATCGCACGCGCGATTCGTAACCACTACGCTAACTCGGTTGTAAACCAAGCAAGTTGGTTCAATTAAACTCAAAATCCAATCAAAAACTCCTTCGCAACATGTTGACACCTGTTGCCAGGGTTGCCACCTGTCACACCACCTGCCACACAAACGCCTTCCTGTGCAGGTTAGGCTCGGAAAACATTAGCCACAGCTACCTACACACCTTACCAAACTCATCCCCCAACCACTCTCGACTTGTCCATCCCTTTCAGATCTAGATGCTCCATTTTTTAAACTGAGCTTTTCACTCGAGCATTTCTTGCCCAACATTTGTTCGCACGATCTGTTTTGGTTAGCCTAGCACTACGACTTTTGTAGAACCAATCTAGCTTTGCGGATGTTATACATTTAGGTTTATAAATCCAGTTTCTGCTTTTCTATGCAACAATGTCATGGTGTTCATCGCTTGCTGAGATGTGCGCGGTCCTACGTTTTTTATTCATTCATACAACCAGAATAACGCATTCCATGACGTCGTTTACTTATACCGCTCCTATTTCCAATATCTATCTATCCCCAGTGCAGCATTTGACGGTCTTCTTTTTACGTAACAAGTTATTCAACTTCGGGCGCTGCTAAGGAGCGCTACGGGCACTGCTAAGGAGCGCGATGGGCGCTGCTAAGGAGCGAGACTGACGCTGCTACGGCGGGTGCTGCTAAGAGACGAGATGGGTGCAACTAAGTGCTCGACGGGCGCTGCTAATGCGGCTGCTGCTTAGAGGCGCGATGAAGAGCGGTAATTACATTGTTTAATTCAATATGAACCTGTGTGTTAACGGTTGCTAATCATCGCTTACCTTCTGATGTTTGTTTCAGTTGCATTTGGTGAAGATTTCCTTCATAGAGGGTGAATGTGTCATCACGCAGGTCGGTTTGTTTGATTCAATGTTGGCATTTTTTGTGGTTACCGACTTATACGTACATACAAGCTTCACGTTGATTTCGCGGTTTTGTTTGTTTCCTCCCCTTTGAAAGTGCTCGCAATCTGAAGGTTTTGTTTAATATTTCACAGCCGCCATTTAGTTCTCTATCACTAAGGTACGCGTCGGGCGCTGCTTTGTCAGGACGCTGCAAAGGGTCGTGACGCCCTGCATTCCTTGCGTCGAGGGGCGGCAGCGTGCCGCTCCTCACTCCTCCTCGTTTCCCCCGACGACTGCTCCCCTGCAGACTCTCCACATGGACGTGTGGGGCCCAGCCCGCGTCACTGGACAGGGCCGCGAGCGGTACTTTCTGCTGGTTGTTGACGACTACTCGCGTTACACCACGGTCTTCCCCTTGTGCACCAAGGGTGAGGTCCCTGCTGTCTTGATCCCTTGGATCCGCGCTGTTCGTCTCTAGGTGCACGAGCAGTTCCGCATGGACCTTCCCGTCATGCGTCTGCACTCTGACAGAGGTGGTGAGTTCTCCTCCGACCTCTTGCAGGACTTTTGTCGTGGGGAGGGCATCCTCCAGTCGTTCACGCTTCCGGCCTCCCCGCAGCAGAATGGGGTTGCTAAGCGCCGCATTGGCTTAGTCATGGAGGTCGCTTGTACCTCCATGATCCATGCGGCTGCTCCCCATTTTCTGTGGTCGTTTGCGGTCCGGTATGTTGTGCATCAGCTCAACCTCTGGCCCCGTGTCTCCTTGCCGCAGACCTCTGGACGGGGGAGGTTGGCGATGCGTCGGTGTTCCGGGTCTGGGGCTCTCGTGCCTTTGTCCGCGATACCTCCGCGGACAAGCTCTCCTCCCGCACCATTCCCTGTGTCTTCCTTGGCTTCCCTCCTGACGCGCCTGGCTGGTAGTTTTACCACCCCACCTCGCGCCGTGTCCTGCCCTCTCAGGACGTCACGTTTGACGAGTCGGTTCCCTTCTACCGTCTCTTCCCCTACCGCACTGCCCCGCTCCCCCCTCCGCCTCTCTTCCTCGCTCCGTGTCCCCCTCCGGTAGACCCCCTCCCCCCTCAGGGTCTTGCTCCTTCAGGTGTCTCCCAGGTAGACCCACTTCCCTTAGCTGAGCCTGTCGAGGTCACTGGTGACTCTGGTGCTGCTGGGGGTGGTGGTGCTCGGGGTACTGCGTCTAGGGGTGCTGAGCCTGAGCGTGCGGAGCCTGGGGGTGCTGAGCCTGAGCGTGCGGAGCCTAGGGGTGCTGAGCCTGAGCGTGCGGAGCCTGGGGGTGCTGAGCCTGTGCGTGCTGCGTCTGGGGGTGCTGAGCCTGGGGGTGCTGAGCCTAGGGGTGCTGCGTCTGCTGGTAGTCCTTTGGGTACCTCGCCGCAGCGGTCTAGCCAGCGAGAGCCTCTCTCGCCCCAGCAGCTGCGCGAGTGGTTTGCTCGGCGCACTCGCCTTCGGAGTCGCGCTACTGAAACTCGGGGCACTGGGGTTGCTAGTCCTGGAGGCACTGGTGCTGGAGGCACTGCGGAGCCTCTCTCCCCTCAGCAGCTGCGCGAGTGGTACGCTCGGCGCACCCGCCTTCGGAGTCGCGCTGCTGGAGCTGGAGGCGCTGGAGCTGGAGGCACTGGGGCTGGAGGCGCTGGAGCTGGAGGCACTGGAGCTGGAGGCACTGGAGCTGGAGACGCTGGAGCTGGAGGCGCTGGCACTGGAGGCGCTGGAGCTGGAGGCACTGGAGCTGGAGGCGCTGGAGCTGGAGGTGCTGGCGCTGGAGGCACTGGAGCTGGAGGTGCTGGCGCTGGAGGCGCTGGAGCTGGAGGCACGTTGGAGCTAGAGGCTCTTGCGCTGGAGGCGCTGGAGCTGGAGGCGCTGGAGTTGCAGACGCTTGAGCTGCGGGAGCTGGAGCTGGAGGCCCTGGCATTGGAGGCGCTGGAGTTGGAGGTGCTCGTACTGGAGGCGTTGGCGCTAGAGGCGCTGGCGCTGGAGGTGCTGGAGCCGGAGGCACTAGAGCTGCAGGCGCTGGAGCTGCGGGAGCTGGAGCTGGAGGTACTAGAGCTGGAGGCCCTGGCACTGGAGGCGCTAGAGCTGGAGGTGCTGGTACTGGAGGCGCTGGCGCTGGAGGCACTGGCGCTAGAGGCATTGGCGCTCAAGGCACTGGCGCTGGAGGCAGTGGAGCTGGAGGTGCTAAAGCTGGGGGCCCTGTGCAGCAGCGCCCGTTTTTCTTGCCGCCGCCGCAGCTGTCCTCACTACCGCCCGAGTCGGTGCTCCGTCAGGTTCTTAGTCTTCCTTCGTCCACTACCCTTCCTCCGGACTCACCACTGCCTGCCCCCCCTCCTTACACCGAGCAGCCAGCCTCCCTTACCGAGCGTCGTGAGCCTGCGTCTCGTCCGGCCTCCCCTGTTCGCACGGCTCACTGTGCTCATCGTGTCCCGCGTCCGCGTCCTCCTCTTGTGCCAGGCACTCACACCATGGCACTTCGTCCTTCCTCTGTCCCACAACACGTCCCTCTGCCGTCTCCTTTTGCGTCCTCTCATCCTGACGTTCCGGACCCTGAGTATGACTTGGTTCGTGCTGCTAGTCCCACTGTCACGCGTCTCCTCGCTACTGTCGTTACTGACCCGTCGTTTGAGTCTACTGCTGCGTCTGCCTTAGTTGTTGAGCTTGTGGATTTTGCTGCGTGTCGTCTAGACTACGCCACTAGTCTTGTTGCTGAGTCTGAGTCTGTCTGTCCTCCGTCCGTCGGGGGTGAGTGTGCTCTTGGCACGGACGTCTTTGAGAATAGGCAGGGGTGCTTTGAGTGTCTTGCGGCTGCTGTACCTCATCTCGTGGCCATGCTGCTTGCACCTGAGGGAGACCCAGATGCACTGGACATCCCGACCCCGCACTCTTACGCAGAGGCGATTTCGGGTCCCTACTCCTCTCAGTGGGAGACAGCCATGGACGCAGAGATGGCATCTTGGAAGTCCACAGGCACTTACGTCGATGCAGTTCCCCCTCCTGGGGCGAACATAGTCGATGGCATGTGGATTTTCAGGGTGAAGCGGCCGCCGGGTTCTCCGCCTATCTTCAAGGCTCGTTACATTGCTCGAGGCTTCAGTCAGCGACAGGGAGATGACTAATTCCAGACCTTCTCCCCTACCCCAAAGATGACCACTCTTCGGGTGCTGCTGCACGTTGCCGCTCAGCGTGACTACGAGCTTCACTCTCTTGACTTCAGCACAGCTTTCTTGCAGGGCAGCCTGCACGAGGAGATCTGGCTGCGCCGCCCACCTGGCTTCACGAAGTCGTTTCCTGCAGGTACCCAGTGGAGCCTCCGACGGCCAGTCTACGGTCTCCGCCAGGCGCCTCGTGAGTGGCACGACACACTGAGGATGACACTTGCTCTCGTGGCTCTTGGGTTTGCTCCTTCCACTGCTGACCCGTCGCTGTCTCTGCTGACGTTCTACATCCTCGTATACGTCGACGATTTGGTCTTTGGCACTGCTGACACTGAGGCACCGGCCCTTGTGAATTCGGAGCTGCAGAAGAGACACACGTGCACGGACATGGGTGAGCTGCGCAGCTACCTTGGCTTGCAGATCACCCGGGACAGAGCACGCCGCACCATCACACTGACTTAGTCACACATGGTGCAGCAGGTCCTTCAGCGCTTCGGCTTCCAGTTCTCCTCACCACAGTCGACTCCTCTGCCTACCGGTCACTCTCTCTCAGCTCCACCTTCGGACGAGTCCATAGAGCCGAGTGGCCCGTATCCAGAGCTTGTGGGTTGCCTCATGTACCTGATGACCTGCACGCGACCAGGCCTTGCGTACCCTCTTAGCATCCTGGCTCGCTACGTTGCGCCTAGGAGACACAGGCGAGAGCACTGGGAGGCTGCTAAGAGGGTGTTGCGCTACTTGTGCAGAACTTCGGGCATGGGGCTGGTGCTTGGAGGACGGGGTCGAGTTGTCCTCACTGGACACTCAGACGCCTCTTGGGTTGACGACCTGGCTACGCAGCGGTCGTCTCAGGGTTACACCTTCAGCCTTGGTTCCGGCTCTGTTTCTTGGCGGTCTACCCGCTCTTCTTCTGTTCTCAGCTCCAGTTGTGAGGCTGAGATCTACGCAGGAGCCATGGCTGCACAGGAGTTACGCTAGCTCACCTACCTGCTGACTGACTTGGGAGAGTGGCCTAATTCCCCCAATTCTGAACGTAGACAACAAGGCTGCCATTGCCTTGTGTGAGGAGTACAGACTGGAGCACAGAACGAAGCACATCGCTCTGCGCTACTTCCTGGCTCGAGATTTGCAGCAGCATGGCCAGCTTCGTCTTGCTTACGTGGCCACCCGGGCCAACACAGCTGACATCTTCACCAAGGCACTTTCGCCTGGTGGTCATCAGCGTCTGTATACTGCTTTAGGCCTTGTGCCTCACTTGCTCACTGCGTGACCTTGCTTATACTGTGGTCTATATATATACCTGCATGCTTTCACTTGCTAGGTTGTGATCACTGTACTGTTTGCTTTGTTTTATATACCTCTGCATGCGAACTGGCCTTGTGGCCATCTGCTTGCGCTCGGAGTGTGTGGTGACGTTGTGATCCACCCTGAGCTTGCTTTGTTTTTTCTGTGACTGCTTGTACTCCCCCACCTTGCCTATGGGGGTGTGTCAGAACATTGTGCTGTGTAGGCTGTAGTGGGGTAGCCAATATGGGGTACAACCCAATTAGGGTTAGTACTTGTACCAACTTTCTCATCAATGCACTCATTCTCGCTTAGTTTCTTGACACTTAGTTATCGTTCCTTGGATTTCTTCATATTCCCTTTTTTTTAAGTATAGAGAATGAAAAAATAAACTGTACATAATTATTTTAATAGGTTCCTTTTAAACCCAAAAAAAGGGCGGGTCAATTGCACCCGATTACACTGCCCGAGCGCACTTGGCAGCAAGTTACCATAGATTTTGTGACAGGGTTACCTTCGAGCCCTGGGGATAACAACACGGTTATGGTCGTCGTTGATAGACCGATGAAAATGGCTCACTTCGTTGCGTGCAAGAAATCAATCTCGACTGAAGAAGTCGCTCGTCTGTCCATAACAACCGTCGTTCGACTGCAAGGGATATCATTCGCGATAATCAGCGACCGCGACAAGAAGTTTACCAGCAACTTTTGGAAGAACCTCTGGGAGCAGTTAGGGACCCGGCTACGGTTTAGCTCGTCATACCACTCCGAGACCGATGGCCAAACGGAGCGGACGAACCGGACCATGGAGCAGCTGATTTGTGCCACGTGCATCGACACGACAACTTGGAAGCAGCAGCTGCCACTGATCGAATTCGCATAGAACAACGCCACATCAGCGACGAGACAACAGTCCCTGTTTTATCTGAACTACAGGCAAAATCCAACAGTTCCTATGATGCCGAGCCCGGACAACCCCACATCTCGCGCACAACAGTTCCCCGAGATCCTGCAGGCTGCCTGAACACGAACAGTAGACGCAATAAAATAATAATAATAATAATAATAATAATAATAATAATAATAATAATAATAATAATAATAATAATAATAATAATAATAATAATAATAATAATAACCAACATCATCGCGAAGAAAAATGCTGACCGCCACCGCCGCCCAGTAACATGTTAGTCGGGAGATTACGTATTGCTCGTCACACAGAATTGAATACAATCCATCGCACCAAAGCATCGACCGCGCTACTGTGGACCGTTCCAAATCAGCCACATAATCACTCCAGTTATTACTCATCTACTGTTGCCGACCGACCGGTACATCAGCCCATCGTTCCACATGAGCCTGTTTCGCTTGTACATCCCAACCACAAGTCAACTGCCACGCCATCGTACACCATCCATGACTCGCCCGGCATCAAAGCCGATCGTCGAGCCCGAGATGATTTTGAGCCATCAGACACCCCACAAGCATCAAGACGATTGAGTTCCTCATTCGTCTGAAGGACCGCACGCCAACTGAAGGCAGCTGGGTGCCCCTAACCAACATTGAAAACCACCCTGCCCTGCAAGTGTACCTGAGGAGCCAGGGTTTCCGCGACATACACATACTCGCGTAGCGGAAAGGGCTTCTGGAGGGGAGGGGGCGATAGTGTAAGGGAATTTTCAGCATTCCTTACTGCTTTCCTCAACATCTCGTACAGCAGCAGCGGTTGTTTTCCCATTACTGCTAACGGGGCTTCGCCAACTTCGCGCGCACTGTTTCACCAAACCATGCACCGCTGGCCCGGCCGTGTCGACTTACGCTTCGGGACTAGCCCGAACCTCGATGCCAGCCTAGCACTAGCTAGCTCGCACGCACCGCATCACTGTTTACATGTTTCGCGTGTAAGTATTTGCTCATGTCTTAGGGCGGGCCAAACAATGCACGTATTTGCAGAAAACCTTACCCAACCATCTTTTGTTTTAATTAGACCGCTCTGGATCAATTTTAAAACTTTTTTCAACCTCATTCGGACGTACTCTTTTGACTCATTCTTTGTACCCGTTTGACACCTAGTGTGCTATGAGTTGTACTAAACAGAGTGCGCGGAAGACTTCTATTAAGAGAACGTGATTATAGAATGGGGAAACAATGAAGAATGCGAGCAAATGTAGGGCGAGTACGTTCTAGGCGAGAACCGCGTGACGTGGGTGGCTCGGAAATGTCGCGACTGGTGATGGGCGACTCGGCATTGGTTCGGTACGAAAGTGTAGGCCGAGCCACACTGACGCGAAGTGCTCAAGGCTGTCCTCGCTAGGAGCAGCCTCTACAGTAATGAATGTATATTCATTACACTCTCCCACCTTCTAAATAAGGTGCCCTTATACGAAGCGGAGTCTTGTGGTAGCGTGAAAACTGCAAGTCTTCGGTTGAAGCCGATCTGACGGTGTAAGCACGTTGACTTTCAAGCTGAGCGCGTGGCTGAGCGCGTTGACCAAGGCGAAATTCAGAGTTGGAATGTCAGCCGTTGATACTGCCGATGTCGATCGGGAGGTTGAAAACGAATATCGAAGTGAAAATCCGTTGATGAATGACAGTCGTCGAGGTCGCGGATGTGAATCCGACGGTAGAGATGGACGAGATGTTGGCGGGAAGTTTGACACGATGTCAGATGTCGGTGAATCGGTAGCCGTTGATGTCGATGGAGTCATCGCGAGCGTCGGTCGTGGTGAATCTATCTGAAAAAATGGCAGAAAGACTGACCAGTACAGTGCGAGAGCACTCTTTCTCCCCCCATTGAAAAACTCTTGCTAGCCCAAACACCCTCGCGTGGCAGCATCAAATCACCTGTCTGCTGCAGAATCTCCAGCTGGCAGCAATTGCCACCCAGCGCCGCTGCTACACTGATGTTGACGGGAGACCCATGTCGTTTGCTGAAAAACGAGCCAGTTCAAATGTCTGCTGTCGTAATACCGGATCATGTCGGTTTATCGTCGAAGACCATCGCAAAAATTGCGAAACCGTTAAAGCACATCAGTGACGCTAGACGAGCTGGGCGGAATCACGTAACTGTCCATGGTCTAATTTGAAAACTCCATCGAAAAATCCGTACTCGGGTTCCGATGATGTCAGCGCCACCGGCGGCTTTGTCGTGAATCGCTGAGGCCTTTGTCGCGATTCTCCGAAAACTAACGGGCAGAGGCGATAAACAGTTGCCGTTCCTCCCCCCTGGCCTCGCAAACATTTTCTTCAAACTGGAACTTGAACTGCCGATGACGTCAGCTACCTTGGCGATGTTGTCGTGACTCTCCGAGAACCTCCGGGCAGGGGCGAAACAGCTGTCGCATCCTCTCCCCCCCGCTGCTGCAAAATTTCTCCCGATATTGTCGCTGGTGTCAAACTCATACACTATAGTCTGTGTAGGCTGTAGTGGGGTAGCTTATATGGGGTACAACATTTTAGGGTTTGGTACTTGTACTCCTCATGCTGCTCAATGCACCCATTCCTCATTCTTCACATGGTATAGAGCGGGTTCCCTAGTGGGACCGTTTCTTCCAAGGGCCCACGTTCGAAAGTTTTTTTTTTAGCCTGCCCTACACGCGCTTCGCGTCCTGCCCCAAAATTTCGCGGCCCCTTAGTGGCCTGCCCCTTAACGGCCCCCTAGTGGCCCCTTCGCGGCCCCCCCCTTAGCGGCCCCCCTTCGCGGCCCCTTCACGGCCCCTTAGCGGCCCCCCTTCGCGGCCCCTTCGCGGCTCCTTAGCGGCCCCTTCGCGGCCCCTTCGCGGCCCCTTAGCGGCCCCTTCGCGGCCCCGCCTCGTCACCAGTCGCGGCCCCGCCCCGTCGCCACCCGGGTTTCCCCCCCTCCCTCGTCGCGACGCCTCAGCGGGACCCGCGCGTCGCCCCCGCCTCGTCGCGACGCCCCTGCGGGACCCGCGCGTCGCCCCCGCCTCGTCGCGACGCCTCAGCGGGACCCGCGCGTCGCCCCCGCCTCGTCGCGACGCCCCTGCGGGACCCGCGAGGCGCGCCTCCTGTGCGTCGCGACGCCCCAGCGGGACCCGGGTGTCGCCCCCGCTCGTCGCGACGCCCCTGCGGGACCCGCGCGGCGTCGCCCCTGCCCGCCGCGGCGCCCTGCCCTAACCCGCGCCCCTGCAGCAGCCGCCCCTGCAGCAGCCGCCCCTGGCCCCTGGAGCAGCCGCCCCTGCAGCTGCCGCCCCTGGCCCCTGGAGCAGCCGCCCCTGCAGCAGCCGCCCCTGGACTTTTGCAGCCGCCCCTGGCCCCTGGAGCAGCCGCCCCTGCAGCAGCCGCCCCTGGCCCCTGGAGCAGCCGCCCCTGCAGCAGCCGCCCTTGCAGCAGCCGCCCCTGGACCTCTGCAGCCGCCCCTGGCCCCTGGAGCAGCCGCCCCTGCAGCAGCCGCCTGTGGCCCCTGGAGCAGCCGCCCCTGCAGCAGCCGCCCGTGGCCCCTGGGGCAGCCGCCCCTGCAGCAGCCGCCCCTGGCCCCTGGAGCAGCCGCCCCTGGCCCCTGGAGCAGCCGCCCCTGCAGCTGCCGCGGAGCCCTCGCCCTACAGTGGTGCCGGCCTCGCCGTTGCCGCCGTCGTACGCCTGCCCTTCTTGCCACTGGTGAGCACTGTCCTGCCCGTACTACTGTTCCTGCTGCTCCTGCTGCTACTGCTCTTTCTACTACTACTGCTGCTCCTGGCGTGGCCAGATGCAGCTCCAGCGCCGTCCGCGTGAGTCCCTCACGCCCCAGCAGCTTCGTGAGTGGTACGCTCGTTGGGGTTGTCGGGGTAGCCGTAGTGGGAGTCGTCCTGGCGTGAGTAGTTCGGGGGCTTCTTGTAGTGGCCAGGTGCAGCTGCAGCGTCGTCCGCGCGAGACCCCTTCGCCCCCGCAGCTTCATGAGTGGTACGCTCAGAGTGGAGGGTCTTTCAGTACAGTTCGCTGCCCGTACGACATTCGCACGGGTGTCCGGACTAGCCAGCCTTGCGGGACACCATTTGGTCACACAGAGTCCCGCTGCTTCGCCCGTCTGAGCGACGCTTGGCGTACAGAGTTTGGCGACGACGCTGAGCTCCCCGACTGGGTGGAGCTGCTTAGGCAGAGGGTAGATATCTTTGCTCTTGACTATGATGCTATCCTCACTGCCATGTATGCATTGTCTACTAGTGCTGAGGGTGCCTGTCACCTGTGTGTGCCGCCTGACCCCGGTATCCAGTCTGCTGCTCTAGGTGCTGTTGCATCTCCTACTTCAGGTGCCGGTGAGGCTGCTGCCCTAGGTGCTCGTGCGTCTCCTGCTCTAGGTGCTGGTGAGTCTGCTCTCTCTGGTGCTACGCCTGCTGCGGTCTTGCACACCTTCACCCTTGACTCGGGTGCTTCCCGCTCCTTCTTTCGAGACTGCACCACGCTCACGCCGCTTAGTCGGCCAGTGGCGGTCTCCCTGTCCTTGCCCGCTTCTCCACTGTCCTACCGTGTCCGGCGGCCCCTTCTGGCACCCTGTCAGGTCTTTACCTCCCCTCGTTCTCTACGAACTTGGTGAGTGGTGCTGACCTCCAGGATGCAGGGGTTCACCAGTTCACTCCTGCGAGTCAGCGAGTGACCCACTGTACCTGTGCTCGGTCGGGCCGTCACTTGGCCACGTTTACCCGTCAGCCGAGGTCGAGCCTGTACACACTGACTACTGAGTCTCCTCCAGTCGCTGAGTCTGCTCAGGTAGCAGCGTCGGGTCAGGTGTTTGCTGCGGCGTCCAGGTCTGGCCCTGAGTCTGCCCCCTGCTCGTGTCGTCTCCTGTCCCACCGGACTCTCCTCTGGCACCACCGCCTTGGTCACCCCTCCCTGCCTCGTCTTCGAGGCATGGCTTCCCGTCTTCTTGTCTCTGGCCTCCCCCGGTCCCTCCCTCCCCTTCCTCCGGGGCCTGCCCCCACCTGCATTCCCTGCGTCGAGGGGCGGCAGCGCGCTGCTCCTCACTCCTCCGAGTTTCCTCCGACAGAGGCTCCGCTGCAGACGCTTCACATGGACGTGTGGGGCCCAGCCCGCGTCCGTGGGCAGGGTCACGAGCGTTACTTCCTGCTGGTGGTTGACGACTACTCGCGTTACACCGCAGTCTTCCCCTTGCGCAGCAAGGGTGACGTCACTGAGGTGTTGATCGCCTGGATCCGCGCAGCTCGTCTCCAGCTCCGGGAGAGTTTCGGCTCGGACTTTCCTGTTCTGCGTCTGCACTCCGACAGAGGCGGAGAGTTCTCCTCTGACCTTCTGCGGGCTTTCTGTCGTGCACGGGGCATCCGCCAGACCTTCACGCTTCCGGACTCTCCGCAGCAGAATGGGATTGCTGAGCGCCGCATTGGCATGATCATGGACGTCGCTCGTACGTCCATGGTCCATGCGGCTGCCCCCCATTTTCTGTGGCCGTTTGCGGTTCGGTACGCGGCGCATCAGATCAACCTTCACCCCCGGGTCTCCATGCCGGAGACCTCCCCTGCTTTGCTGTGGACGGGGAAGGCTGGCGATGCGTCTGCGTTCCGTGTCTGGGGATCTCGGGCGTTTGTCCGCGACTTGTCTGCGGACAAGCTGTCCCCTCGTGCTGTTCCCTGCGTCTTCCTTGGCTTCCCTCCTGACGCGCCAGGCTGGCAGTTCTACCACCCCACCTCGCGCCGTGTTCTGTCCTCCCAGGACGTCACCTTTGACGAGTCGGTTCCCTTCTACCGTCTCTTCCCCTACCGCACTGCGTCCCTCCCTCCCCCGCCGCTCTTCCTTACGCCAGGTCCCCCTCCGGTAGACCCCCTCCCCCCTCAGGGTCCTGCTCCCTCAGGTGTGTCCCAGGTAGATGTACTCGAGCCTGTCGAGGTAGCTGTTGACTCTGGTGCTGCTGGGGGTGCTGAGCCTGGGGGTGCTGCGACTGGGGGTGCTGAGCCTGGGGGTGCTGCGCCTGGGGGTGCTGAGCCTGGGGGTGCTGCGCCTGCGGGTACTGAGCCTGGGGGTGCTGAGTCTGGGGGTGCTGTGTCTCGGAGTGCGGAGCCTGAGGGTGCTGGGCCTGCTCGTGTGGCGTCTGGTGGTGCTGGGCCTGGAGGTTCTTCGGGTGCTTCGTCCCGGCGGGAGCTACTCTCTCCACAGGAGCTGCGTGAGTGGTTTGCCCGGCGCTGGAGGCGTGCTGCTGGAGCTGGCGGTGCTACGGACGCTGGAGGTTCTGCTGCTGCTGAGGGTGCTGGTGCAGCGGGTCCCGGAGGTGCTCGTACAGGGTGTACTGGAGCTGCTGGGCCTACGGGTGCTCCTGGTGCTGGAGCTGGTGGTGCTACTGGTGCTACTGGCGTTGGTGCTGCTGGTGCTCCTGGAGCTGGAGCTGCTGCGTCTTCTGGTGGTCCGACTGGAGCTGGAGCTGCTGGGGGTGTTAGCACTGGTGGTGCTCCTGGCGCTGGTGCTTCTGAGGGTGCTGGAGTTGGCGCTGCTGGAGCTGGGGGTACTCCTGGTGCTGGTGCTCCCGTTGGGGGTGCTGGTGCTGTTCCTGCTGGTACTGGTGGCGCTGCGCGGCCGCGGCCGTACTTCGTTCCGCTCCTTGAGCAGGTTCTTGGTCTTCCGTCCTCTCTTGGTCCTGCTCCTCCCTTAGAGTGTCCGCAACCTGTACAGTCTGAGTCACAGTTACCGCCCGCCTCCCCGCTTCCTTCTCCTTCTCCCTACACTGGTCCTACTGGAGGTCTTGCTGAGCGTCGTGAGCCTGCGTCTCGCCCTGCGTCGCCTGTCCGTGCTGCTCGCACTAGTGGTCGTGGTTCGCGTCAGCGTCCTCCCCCTGTCCCCGGCACGCACCGGATGTCTCTGCGTCCTTCCACTGCTCCACTGCGTGCCCCTTTGCCTTCTCCTCCCGCGTCCTCTCTTCCTGACCTTCCTGACCCTGAGTCGGACTCCCTTCGTGCTGCGCGTCCTACTGTCACGCGTCTCCTTGCTACTGTCGTCACTGACCCTTCTTTTGAGTCTACTGCTGCGTCTGCCCTGGTTGCTGAGCTTGTCGACTTCGCTGCTCGCTGTCGCCTAGACTACGCTGCCAGTCTCGTCGCTGGGTCTGAGTCTGTCTGTCCTCCGTCCGTCGGGGGTGAGTGTGCTCTTGGCACGGACGTCCTTGAGGACAGGCAGGAGGAGTTCCAGTGCTTGGCTGCTGCTTCACCTCATCTCGTGTCCATGCTGCTTGCCCTTGAGGGAGACCCGGATGCACTTGACATCCCGACTCCGCGCTCTTACGCGGAGGCGATAGAGGGTCCCTACTCCTCTCAGTGGCAGGCAGCCATGGATGCAGAGATGGCTTCCTGGAAGTCCACAGGCACCTACGTTGATGAGGTTCCCCCGCCTGGGGCGAACATCGTCAGTGGCATGTGGATTTTCAGGGTGAAGCGGCCGCCGGGTTCTCCGCCTGTCTTCAAGGCGCGTTACGTGGCTCGTGGCTTCAGTCAGCGGCAGGGAGTTGACTACTTTCATACCTTCTCTCCCACCCCGAAGATGACCACTCTTCAGGTACTGCTGCACATAGCCGCTCACCGCGACTACGAGCTGCACTCTCTTGACTTCAGCACTGCTTTCTTGCAGGGCAGCCTGCACGAGGAGATCTGGCTGCGCCGCCCACCTGGCTTCACTGGGACTTTTCCTCCTGGCACCCAGTGGAGCCTCCGGCGGCCAGTCTACGGTCTCCGCCAGGCACCTCGTGAGTGGCACGACACACTGAGGACTACACTTGCGGCTCTTGGGTTTGCTCCTTCTACTGCCGACCCGTCGCTGTTTCTGCGCACCGACTCTTCTTTGCCGCTGTTCTACATCCTCGTGTACGTCGACGACTTGGTCTTTGCTACAGCTGACACTGCTGGACTTGCCTACGTGAAGTCCGAGCTGCAGAAGAGACACACGTGCACAGACCTGGGTGAACTGCGCAGCTACCTTGGCTTGCAGATCACCCGGGACAGAGCACAGCGCACCATTACCCTGACTCAGTCACACATGGTGCAGCAGGTCCTTCAGCGCTTCGGCTTCACGTACTCCTCGCCTCAGGCCACTCCTCTGGCTACACGCCACTCGCTCTCAGCTCTGCCTTCGGATGAGTCCGTAGAGTCGAGTGGCCCATACCCAGAGCTTGTTGGCTGCCTCATGTACCTGATGACCTGCACTCGACCTGACCTTGCATACCCTCTTAGCATTCTGGCACGCTATGTTGCTCCTAGGAGACACAGACCAGAGCACATGGCTGCAGCGAAGAGGGTGTTGCGCTACTTGTGCAGTACGTCGGGCATGGGGCTTGTGCTTGGAGGGCAGAGTCCAGTGGTCCTCACTGGTCACGCAGACGCTTCTTGGGCTGACGACCAGGCTACGCAGCGGTCGTCACAGGGTTACACCTTCAGCCTTGGTTCCGGCTCTGTTTCTTGGCGGTCTACCCGCTCGTCTTCTGTTCTCAGCTCCAATTGTGAGGCTGAGATCTACGCAGGGGCCATGGCTGCACAGGAGCTACGCTGGCTCACCTACCTGCTGACTGACCTGGGAGAGCCGCCTCGTTCTCCTCCAGTGCTGTACGTAGACAACAAGGCCATGCTGGCCTTGTGTCGAGAGCACAGACTGGAGCACAGAACGAAGCACATCGCTCTTCGCTACTTCCTTGCTCGTGAGCTGCAGCAGCGTGGTCAGCTGCGCCTTGCTTACGTGGCCTCTGAGGCCAACACTGCTGATATCTTCACTAAGGCACTCGCGCCTTGTGATCATCAGCGCTTCTGTACTCTGTTAGGTCTTGTGCCTACCTTGCCTCACTTGCTTACTTCTTGACCTTGCTTGTACTGTTACATATATATACCTGCTCTTGCTTGTTTAGCGTTATATATATGTAATCTTGCATGTGAACTGGCCTTGTGGCCTTGAACTTGTGCTCAGACTGTGTGGTGACGTTGTGATCCACCCTGAGCTTGCTTTGCCTTGCTTTGCTTGACTAGTCTTGTGACCCCTTGTTCTCCCCCACTTTGCCTATGGGGGTGTGTCAAACTCATACACTATAGTCTGTGTAGGCTGTAGTGGGGTAGCTTATATGGGGTACAACATTTTAGGGTTTGGTACTTGTACTCCTCATGCTGCTCAATGCACCCATTCCTCATTCTTCACAGCTGGTACCCCCGAACAGCTTCCGAATTCTACGGCTACACTTTTAACGACGTGTGCCTTTGTGCGCTTAATCAAGCACCGCTGCAACTCCGTCGTTGGCACGGATACTCTCTGCGACCCCTCTGACTCCGTTAAGACTCACTCTCGGAACTGTCGTTGCACCCGCAAATGTCGGAAATAAACCACACCATGTAAATCCCGGTCGCCTGCAGGCTGTCCTCCGAAAGAACCGGTGTTTCTAGCACGCCCACCCGGTCACCATTTTTTTCATGCGGCTAGCCACCCAAGCGACCCACCAAAAGGACGTGCTGTTTTGGCATGGAATTCAGTACTTATGGGTCTTCCGAGACCGATTTTCACAGGCCCTAGCACGCATCAACGCCGCAAAACTCGCCGTAGAACTCCCCCAGGTAAACCTCCTGAAATACCCTGTAAATCGTTTAAACAACTGGCGAGCATATGTTGACCCGTCTCCCACCGTCGAAAATCACCCAAAAAATTTGGTTGCGGCAACAAGCCCCGAAGTATTTTCTGCTGCGTAGCCCCGACATTTCCCCCGTTGACCCTGGTACTCCGACGTTCACCCATCTTCGTACTCGTCAGAAATACTTAGCAAATCCCAGGTATCCTTGGCACTACACCCCTCGTTGTGCCTCCATGTGTGAGATGTCCGACCCTTTCGTGCCCACTGAGTAGACCCGAAATTCACGGTGGAGTGGTGTGTGGGCTCAACGTATCACTCAAGAAGCTTGGAGAGGCACCCAAAACTTTCCCACCATTTTTTTTTTTTACCCCCTCCGACAATTTCACTTGTCACCGTTCACCCAGCGTCCACTTTTGTCGGATGAGGTATTTGCCGTGTTTCCCGCGATTTTTCTGGCGTTCGATGAAGGCGCGAACGCAATCGTAGTCGGGGTGAGTTTATCGTATCAAACTCCCGCCCGGCCGCTTCGCTGCCTACCGTGCCTATCGCTTTTAAAACCCCGCAGCTTCGGGAACTCCATCTTGTTAACAAGACTAAGCAAGAATGTGTCATTGAATGGAAGAATTGGGTACAAATAGCAAACCCTAGTTGGGGTTGTACCCCATACTGGCTACCCCACTACAGCCTACCAACATAACACAGTTTAACACACCCCCATAGGCAAAGTGGGGGAGAACAAAGGGTCACAAGACCAGTCTAGCAAAGCAAAGCAAGCCCAGGGTGGATCACAACGTCACCACACTCCGAGCACAAGCAAAGGCCACAAGGCCAGTTCACATGCAGTGCTAGATATAGTACAAGACAAGCAACACAGTGATCAAGACCTAGCAAGCAAGCAACGAGATATATATAAAGGACAGTACAAAGAAAGTCAAGCAGTAAGCAAATGAGGGAATGTGGACACAAGGCCTAAGGAAGTACAGTGCCGCTGATGATCACTAGGCGGGAGCGCCTTGGTGAAGATATCAGCAGTGTTGGCCTTCGAGTCCACGTACACAAGCCGAAGCTGACCTCGCTGCTGCAGCTCTCGAGCAAGAAAGTAGCGAAGAGCAATATGCTTCGTCCTGTGCTCCAGTCTGTGCTCCTGACACAAGGCAAGGGCCGCCTTGTTGTCACCGTACAGAACTGGAGGAGAACTAGGCCGCTCTCCCAAGTCAGTCAGCAGGTAGGTGAGCCAGCGTAACTCCTGGGCAGCCATGGCTGTGGCGTAGATCTCAGCCTCACAACTAGAGCCGAGAACAGAAGAAGAGCGGGTGGACCGCCACGAGACAGAACCAGAGCCAAGGCTGAAGGTGTAACCCTGTGACGACCGCTGCGTAGCCAGGTCGTCCACCCAAGAAGCGTCCGAGTGGCCAGTGAGGACAACTCTGTCGCGTCCTCCAAGCACCAGCCCCATGCCTGATGTACTGCACAAGTAGCGCAGCACCCTCTTAGCAGCCTCCCAGTGCTCTCGCCTGTGTCTCCCAGGCGCAACGTAACGAGCAAGGATGCTAAGAGGGTACGCGAGGTCAGGTCGCGTGCAAGTCATCAGGTACATGAGGCAGCCTACAAGCTCTGGGTACGGGCCACTCGGCTCTACGGACTCGTCCGAAGGTGGAGCTGAGAGCGAGTGGCTGGTAGCCAGAGGTGTGGCCTGTGGTGAGGAGAACTGGAAGCCGAAGCGCTGAAGGACCTGCTGCACCATGTGTGACTGAGTCAGGGTAATGGTGCGGCGTGCTCTGTCCCGGGTGATCTGCAAGCCAAGGTAGCTACGCAGCTCACCCAGGTCAGTGCAGGTGTGTCTCTTCTGCAGCTCCGACTTCACACGAGCGAGTGCCTCAGTGTCAGCAGTAGCAAAGACCAAGTCGTCGACGTACACGAGAATGTAGAACGGCGGCAGCGACGTGTCTGTGCGCAGAAACAGCGACGGGTCAGCAGTAGACGGCGCGAACCCAAGAGCCGCAAGTGTAGTCCTCAGTGTGTCGTGCCACTCGCGTGGCGCCTGGCGGAGACCGTAGACTGGCCGGCGGAGGCTCCACTGGGTACCAGGAGGAAACGACCCAGTAAAGCCAGGTGGGCGGCGCAGCCAGATCTCCTCGTGCAGGCTGCCCTGCAGGAACGCTGTGCTGAAGTCAAGAGAGTGAAGCTCGTAGTCACGCTGAGCAGCAACGTGCAGCAGAACCCGAAGAGTGGTCATCTTCGGGGTGGGGGAGAAGGTCTGGAAGAAGTCGACCCCCTGACGCTGACTGAAGCCTCTAGCAACGTAACGAGCCTTGAAGACAGGCGGAGAACCTGGCGGCCGCTTCACCCTGAAAATCCACATGCCATCGACGATGTTCGCCCCAGGAGGATCACCAAATAATCCCGTGAAATTCTTCTCAACGAGAAGGAAAGATTTCCTTTTAATCGGGAAATTCTTCTCAACGAGAAAGCACCTGTCGGAGAGCAGCAAGATGCTCAGAGACTAAAGGAGGTTCGCCTAGGTGATTTCCTGGAGCAAGGGGCTGAAGGGGAACTGGAACTTGTTGACCGCTATTTGGGATAGATAGGCTCTAAACACACCTTTAATTCACACTAGGTGTTGGGTGCAAATGCACATTGCATGACATCCTGCCGTCTGTTTGTACGAGTATGCGTGTGCGAATGCATTTGCGTGTGAATGGTGTGTTCGTGTGTTTGTTTGCTTTCGCATTTTTCGCTTGATGCATTTGCAGGTACTCGCGCAATGTGCGCTTCGGCACAACATTGTACGCGCTATGAACAGTGCAAGCAGAAAGGACGAGCTCGCAAAGGAACCCAAGATGGAAGCTTTGCAGTTCGGTTGAGTTGATTGCGCAGATTCAGTTCTATCCAACTCGAAATTGTACTGTTTTGTTTGGTTAACTATAGTGTAGCAGGGAAGGCACTATAGGGGTACAATTTAGGTGAAGGTTGGATGTTGTTTGTCTGTATCTGCATGCTACAAGGCCAGGGGAAACCAGCGGAACCAGCATTTGGCTGGTTGGGCAAAGACAAAACAGGTTCTGTTTTTAGAACCTGAACCTGGTTGTTGTTTTCCCAGGTTGGAAAAACAGAACCAGAGGTTGTTTACCAACCTACCACCTGCTATTTTGTCCAGCCAGGTTGGTTCTGTTGCTTGGAATTATTTGGGATCATCCCTGGTTGTTCCCAGGTTGATTCCCAAGGTCCGTGCTAGCTAGAACTATTTAATCCTTCTCTGTTTGTACCTGAATATAGTCAATTGATTCATGCGAATTCCTTCCTCGCTGGAATTTCGTTTCTACGCGGTTCGTTGGCGGAATGCTACCCGAGTCAACGCTAGTACGCTAGCACTCTAATGCTAGGCAAACACCGTCTGAGCCATAACTTTGTAATGGCAGAACTTTTCGCGAGGCAACTTGGCTCATTTTAAAGCTCTTGGAGCGAGCTTCGATATAGCGAATTCTCAGCTTAATCCGATCGACAGTCTGCACGGCACGCTGCGCGACGTTCAAGGTGCTCTTGCTGTTTTGACTAAGTCCTTCTTGATCCCTCTCTCTACAAACTCGGACCCGAGGATAGGGGCTGGTCTTGTACCAGGCACCCAGGGACCCTTGGAGGTGACCCCGAGGAGAGGTTTTAAGTTTGATTAAGTCCTAATAGCTTGAGTTTATTAGGCCCTTACACCAACAAGCTGGTATCAGAGCTGCGTTATAGTGATCCTCGTTATAGGTAGCTATGGCGGGCAACACCTCGGCGGGAGCTGGTGAATCTTCAGCCCAAGATCGTAGCGGCAGCCAAGATTCTGGTCTTTCAGTGCCAAGGGGAGCGCGAACAAACCAGGGCTCGCTTGTCAAGGAGGTGCTGAAGAATTTCACCGTCGAGAAGTTCAATGGTGAGGGCTATGATGATTGGGCCTGGAAAATGCAATTATATTTCCGTCAGATCGGTTTGCTGAAACTAATGATTGGGGAGGAGCCTAGACCGAGTGACCCCACGCTGCAGGAAGATTGGGACGAGCGCTCCTCGGCTGGCTACTATTTGATGTCGCAGAGTTTGGAGCTGAACCAGCGTCACCACGTCATGCACCTGCTGCCGGAGGTTGAATGCGGTCCGAAGGCGTGGACCGTGTTGAAGGAGCTGCACGCCCCGACCTCCGTTGTCGCAACGTTGATGCTGGAGAGGGAGCTGTCCGCGTTGCGCCTGAGCGAGGGAGAGCCAGTGCAAC